TATTCGTTAATTTTCATTTTCATGTAGTAAAGGCTCTATGCCTTCATAACGGACGTACTTTTCCTTTGTTTAAGGGTATTTGGGCAGTTTATTCTCTGTTATATTCTCAAGTAAACAATACATACAAGTACAGTACAGTATTTTCTGAGGAAACACTCGCACTTATTTTTTTTAACCCCATTCCCGATAACCCGGCATTTTCACAAACTCGGCCACCCTTCGGTCCACATTAGGCCGAGTTTCCGAGGTTCTACTGTATATATATATAAAAGATCCTGCAGCTGCCAACCAAATTACCAATATATTGGTGAAACTGGAAGAACCCTAAAAATCGGACTAAAAGAACATTCATGTGCTATTAAATTTAATTACACTAATTCTGCTGTAGCCATACATTGCAATGGTGAAGGTTGAGATTTTACTCAATAATCTAAAAGTACTCAGGAAAGGGGAAAAACATATAAAAAGGAAATTATTTGAATTTGGAAATTACTAAAATAAAAACTTATAAAGTGAACTCAAATGACAATCTAACCATTAATGACATCTGGAAACCACTCCTTAACTGGTATTATCCACAAGTGATTCCATCTCACTCCACCTCCCCAGATGGCCCCCATCGGATGAAGTTATTCTATCTTCCCATATAGATACAACTGCATTCTGCAATTGCGACTGTGAACTTAAGGATGATGTGAACTCAGCCCACCTCTACCTTATGTAACATTAAATACTTACAGTATTGTGCGAATTAATGTGAACACAAGTGAAAATTTGAAAAAAAAAACATTTATTGGTTAAAGATGAATAGAATCGAAAAATGAATACAATTTAAATTGTTTTAATATGAAATATGTCCTCCCTTGGCTTTAATAACTTCTTGAACACATTTTGTCATGGAATCAATAAGTTTTTTTTAGTTTTCTGTTATTTGCTGGTCTCAAAACCATATCTGGATTACAGCCTCAATCAGTTTTGTTTTTGTTGTGCAATCTGTTTTACGAAGTCTAGCTTTTACTATTAAGATATGGTGAATTTCCTGGCCATTCAAGGCATGATATCTTTTTATCTTTGAAATGTTTAATCATAACCTTGAAAACATGACAAGTCTTGTTGAAATACTGCTTGATCGTTGGCATCAACTTTTCCTAGTTCATCTTCCAATCTTTGTTCTAACAAGTCTCCATATTTTTGCGAGTTCATCATGCCTTTGACTGGCACAAAAGATCCAGTACTTTTATAAGAAAAGCAGCCCCAGAACATCTTTAATGGATGTTTAACTGTTTAATCAATATGAGCTGCCATAAGTTTTTCTTGTCACTTTTTCTAATGTAACAAGATCGCTGTCCTTGTACCAAAAATTGGCTCTCAACTGAAAACAACACTTTCCTCCAATCTTCAACAGTCCAGCTCACATATTTTTTTTGCCCAATTATATAGTTTTTTTATCATGGCAGCAGTCAATAACTATTTCTTTTGAGGTCTAACCATTTTTCTCCCACTTTCTATAAGTTGTTTTCGTACAGTGGAGTCATGAACAATAACTCTAGCGTGTGCTAAGTCTTGTTGAAGTTCTTGACTGTTTTCCTAGGGTTTAATTTACTTTCCCGTATTAAAAAAGCTTCATCCCTTGCTGTTGTCTTTCTTTTCCTTCCACATTTCCCTTTTCTGTTCACCTCAATTGTCCCAGTCCCTATTTTGCTCAAAATTACAGCTCCTAAACTCACATCACACTGCTTGGCAACATCTCTTTGAGTCATTGATGTGTGTTCACTCAAAGTAACAATCTTAGTGTGCTTTTTGGGAGTAATATCCATCTTCAAAAAAAAAAAAAATGCTAATAAAGCCTCAGTTCAGCTTAACTTCACCAAAACACAACAATTAAACATATTCTAAACATACCTTCTAAACATATTTTACCCAGTCAATTACCCAATATTTTCTTTAATATTATTTCAAGTAGCAGATAAGGCTGGCATTGCTCGGGCAAAAGTAACAATAGCAAAGATTAAGATTATTACGGTATAGCCAATCTTACCCATTTTCACAGAAAGCAAAAATTAGGTCCTCCTGTTTCCAGACTAATTAGAAAATTTTTAGATGGGTCTAAAAATATGTTCAGTTTCCCACAATTATGCAAAAAACCCATATCTGTGTCTGTAAATCTTGCATGTTGCTTTCTCTTAACACTTTCATTCTTACTTAACACTTCCCTGCAGAGGGAATTTCGAAAAACCCTTTTTTAGTGTACATTCTTGTGACATACCCTATTAAAACGCAATCAAAAAGGTAAAAAACTGCATCTAAAATAGTACGAAGGCTATTTTTTAAATAAGGTCCGTTTTTTAATAAGAAGAAAAATACTGTAAATATCATTAAAATATATTTTTTCCTATATTCTACATACTTTTTTCTACTTTTCTACATAATTTCCATTTTTGTTCNTATACGAAGGCTATTTTTTAAATAAGGTCCGTTTTTTAATAAGAAGAAAAATACTGTAAATATCATTAAAATATATTTTTTCCTATATTCTACATACTTTTTTCTACTTTTCTACATAATTTCCATTTTTGTTCATACATTTGTCATACCACTCAACAATTTTTTTAATTCTGACTTTAAAGAAATCTGCTGCTTGTGAAAAAGCCGAATCCATGACTGCAGTTTTCACTTCTTCATCGTTGTTGAATTGTTGACCACCAGTATCGAAACAAGTGAAAATTACTGGGTGCAAGGTCTGGACTGTAAGGTGGATGATCCAGTTGTTCCCATCCAAAAGAACTGATTAGATCTTGTGTTTGTGCAGAAACATGTGGCCTTGCATTGTCATGGAGCAACATCACATCAGAAGACATTAGACCATGCTGCTTGTTTGGCATGCTGGAATTTTCTCAAGGTCCCCCAAATACATCAGAATTGATTGTTGTGCCTCTCAGCATAAAATCCACTAACAAAATCCCTTTCCTGTCCCAAAAGACAGTTGCCATAATTTTTTGTGCTGAAATGGACTGTTTGGCTTTCACTTTGGTTGGCGAAGATGTGTGTTGCCATTCCATTGACTGTTACTTAGACTCAGGAGTCATGTGAGACACCCAAGTCTCATCTCCTGTAACAATGTGGTCCAACAATTCATCTCCTTCCTGATCATATTGAGTCAGAAACGATAAAGCACTGCGCAATCTTTTTGTTTTGTAATCGTCAGAAAACAGTCTTGGAACCCACAGAGAACACAATTTTTGATAATTCATTTTCTCCGAAACTGATCTGAAACCTGTGGAAATTTAATTGATAACATTGAAATTGTGAATCATCGGTCCTCTCGAACTTTGTTATCCACATCTGTAGAAATCAGAGAAGGTCGGCCAAGGTGTGGCTCATCATGCACATTAACCTGCCTGTCCTTGAACATTCTCACCCACTTTTGAACTTTACATTCACTCATAGCATTATCATCCTAAACTTCACAAATCTGACTGTGAATTTCCGCAAAGTTTCTTGCACTCAAGAATCGAATAACAGATCGTATCTCATAGTTGGTGAGTGACTCAATTTTCTTAAACATTATAAACTTTCACGGCTCGGCACACAGACAGATGATGTGGCTGCAAATGTTGTTTAAATGCATGCAAAGCATGCTTAGACATCCTATGCAGCCATATCATCTGTCTGTGTGCTGAGCCATTTGCAGCTCGGAGCAGATGCGCGCACACACTGTCGCAATCACACGTTATTCTCACTCTCATTTGCAAACGGACCTTATTTAAAAAATAGCCCTTGTATAATAAAAGCGAAGCTCTTCACGGGAAGCCTTAATCCTGTCCCTCTTCCCTGTGGGGAATTTTGAAAAATCCCTTCTTAGTGTATGTTCTCATGACATACCCTAACTGTGTATAACATTTCAACCTTCAACTCCTAACTATTTGGGCTCTGCACATTATTATTATTATTATTATTATTATCATCATCATCATCAACCCATTTTGATTATATATATACAGTAATAACTCAACTTATGCTACCCTGACTTACATGAACCCATAGTTACGCGATTTTCAAATCTCGTTGATTTGTCTTTTGTTTGAGTGCCACGCAACTGTTGATTACTCGCCCTCCACACTATTGTTTAGCTTACATGTTCAGATGTGCCTTGTGGAATTGACACATAGCTACAATTTATTATGTGCTGTTTATTTCTGTGTTTGTTATATCTACGGAGACTTGAGAGACTCTGTGGTGATTTCTTCTAACCATGAATGAATCAAAAGACGAGATAAGATTAACAAGAACATTTATTATCTTACATGCATCCGATTTGGTTTTACACAAATTGCAAAATTATACCCCGACTTACGCGGTTATCGCTCGATCCCACTTATCGCGTAAGTTTGGGGTATTACTGTATATAGATTTGTAACCAACAATCAACCATGTAACTTATAAAAAAATTTTGTTAAAATATTATATGTATTATTATGTATCATGTAATCCTTGTCTATCTGTTTTTTGTAAAGTACTGAAGAGGGGTCATTAAGATCCAAAATGCATTTCCTCCAATAAAATCAATATCAAATGTTCCTTGTGTGATGTGTTACTGAAGAAAAAAAGCCCATAGCTTTTAATTCTTTAAAATCCACAACAAAACCAGTAACAGAAAATTTACTTAACTATTTTCTTGTTTGGTCTGCCCAAGCTAGAGAATTATTTAGTAAAACACAAACTGCAAAATTCAGAATAATAATTATACATGTAGTTTGGTTATTTGTAATGTCAATATTTTATGATGGAATAGAATTTTTGAAAATTATTGTTATCCTACATTAATTCCAAATTGTAGTTTTTTTTTTTTTTTAAGATTGCTCCTTGTTGTTTTAACATTTAAGTCAAAATTAAATTCTAAAATTTAAATTAACTTAAGATTCATTTAAAAAAATTTATTTAGGTATTTTTTTAAATAAAAATATTCTTATCATTCATACATATCTTTTTTTTTTTTACAGAAGAAAATCTTTGGAAGATTCTGAATATAGTAGGACAAAACTATACAGTAAGTATATATATAGTACTATTTTAGTAAGGTTTATTTTTTTAAAAAAAGATAAAATAGGATTTTTTTGTTAAAAAAATTATTAAACCCATTCGATGCAACAGATAAAAAATGAAAATGTTTTTTGTGTTGACAAGTTTTTTTGTTTTTATTAATTTTTATTTATTTGAAAAAGACACTGTTGCCATTAGGCCTTTTTCAAGTATCTACAAACAATTGAAAACAAAAAATAAATTATAGTTATTGCTGTTAACTAATAATTTAACAAACAGATTTACGTTTTTGTAGACTTTATAACTCGACACTTCTCTTAAGTCGTTACTGAACTCATTCCAATATAAAATAATTTGAAAAATTGGCGAAGATTTTCCTATCGTGAGTCTGACAACTGGAAAAGTGTATTCATAAGTCCTTCAAGTATTCTGATTTGAAACATTACAGTATTCACTTATTTTATTTCCTCCTAGACAACTATTATCTTTATATCCATTTATAAATTTGTGGCTCTCCACCAAAACTTGTTTTATATAAATATTGCATATTCTATCAATTTTATCAATTCTATAGTATTCCAACACCAATTCTCTGAAGTGTAAATTATGAATGGATTGAATAAAATGATTTTGTACTAGTTGAAGTTTATTAATTGCATATGTGAGATTGGCAGTGGGCCACTGGGTTAATCCCCAAATGACCATTTAATCTGCACGGGCTAGTAAAGCCCGATCTCAGAGTTGTTGGATGGCTAGGAGGCCTAAATGAGTGGGGAGAACATCGATAAGCTGGCAGGCATCCTTCCAAAGACAGGAGACAGGTTTAACAAAATAACAAAGCATTTATTGAATAACTAAATCTAAGTTACAGGAGGCAAAATTAATACTAAGGTTACTCCGACTCCAGCTAAAACATCAAAACTACACAACTCCGACTCCACAGCCCTGGTAGAACAAAATGTTTTTCTTTATCAGCAACCAATAGATTTAACTGATTCGTTGCCAGGAAAGATTTAACCATCCGCGTTGTCTTCAGATTGGTCCTTATAGTTTTAGAAGATTGTTTCAATGCTATGGCTGTCAAAGTAGACAGGTCATAATCCAATACTATTTCTGTTATAAGCTTCTACTAAACATGCTAAATTTTGGATAGTAAAATTTATTATTTGATCTTAATAGTAGCAGTTTAAGTTTGGAAAAAATACATTCCAATTGTCTTTCATGACAATTAATTTTTTTAAGTCAACTTTTGATTTACAGGTTTGATAAATGTTTTATGATTATATGAATAGTATTAACTATAATTAGTTTAAAAGACATTAACTAAGTAGTTTAAAAGACATTAACTAAATACATAGATCTAAAATTGTGTGAATGTTTCTATATAAATTAGTAATTGTAATTTGAATAAATTGATTTTATAGAATTGTCATCTCATTGCTGAAATTGTATAGTAATAATAATTATTATTATAGTGAATAATTTTTGAAGATAAATTTTAATATTTTATAAATTTCAGTTTAGCAAGATGCAACTCTTTTTACAAAGTGATCAACTTTATTCCATTGAAGTTCCTGAAAATGAAAAGATATCTTTTCTAAAGGTATATTTTTTAATAATATATAATATATTTTAATAGTAATGTTTCAGTTACTTCAATTATTCATAAATGTTTTAAATTTAAATAGAACTTTATTGAAATCACTGAGAATTTACCACAAGAAGAACAGTTATTCTATTATGGTGGTAAACCTCTTCATGAAGATGATAATATTTCTGATTTTCTTATGAATGGTGCTACTGTTGACATTTCTATAAGATTAAGGGGAGGTAAGTAAGTTAGTTTTAGAAGTTTAACAGTATGAAGTTTTAAATTTTTGTAAAATATGATGATAGAATTATTTCTTGGAATTTTTATTGAAAGTATTTTTATAACTTAGGAATACAGGATGTTATTGGAATATGTTTTTGAATTAATTATTAATGTTTTATTTCATGAGTAGTATTAACTTTGTTTCACATATCATGCAACTGATCACAAAGCTCCAATCAGTTGCATGTTGTTTTGTGACCAGATGAAAAATTTAATTCTCTCTTTCTTGATTTTTAATGTGTATTGTCTGTTTATTATTATTTTGTAATTAATTAAAATACTAATCCGTTAGTAATTCCAAATAGAATAGAAAGAAATTAAACAAATTTACAATAGACTAAGAATACAAAGAAAGTTGTAAATTGGAGTATAATTTAGTTTTTATAATTATTTGATTGCTGATAACAAAATTATAAATATAGTATTTATTTTAATGCTTAACTGGTTTAAGTATGTATAATTCCATGTTGTGAAAAGAATCTAGCTGCATGTGATTTTTTTTAAAATTAATAACAAATGTATATTTATGTTTTTGCTCAATATTCTTAATATCTACAGCAAAATTTGTTTTCCATTCCAGGCAAAGTTCATGGTTCTCTTGCTCGTGCTGGTAAAGTTAAAGGACAGACTCCAAAGGTCGGTTTTGTAGTAATTACCTTACATTAATTGAGCTGTTGATTTTGAAAGTGGGGCAAGTTCATTTTATGTTATTGCTAGATATTTAAAGGTTTCCATTTGAATGGGTTTAAAAATATTCACAAACAGTAATAGACTTATTTTAATATTTTTTTGGTCTTATTTCATGTAAATTTATTATGTAATAATGGTTATCTGTGTAAGGTGGAAAAAAATCATGGTTTTGGTATGTCTTGTGGACTTGTCTCACTTTCAAAAGCAATGATTTGTTGAAAACATTGATTTTCTTTGAATGGAATGTAATTATAACAAGAAAAAATTGAATATTTTATTTATTTATTTATTTAATTTCAACATTTTGTACTTTTTTTGAAAAGCCACAATAAAACAGAAAATAAATTTAATTTTATAGGAAAAAGTAAATAAAATAAGAAAAAATATTCAGTAATAGGTTGCATGCATATAATTATATTCATTAGTTTAGATGGTGCAAATTTTTAAAGTATTCATGATGATTGGGTAGTACTGTACATAGGGTAATAAATCCATTATATCTCTATATATATTTTTTTTTAGAGTGGACTTGTCTCACTTTAAAAATCAACACAGAATAAATATCTTTGACAGTATAAATTACTAGTAACAAATTTATACTGATATGAAAAGATATTTATTATGAATTGATTAAAAACATAAATTTTATGTTAATTTGTAATAAAAATTAGGTTTAACTATTTTTTTCACAAAATGGACTTGCTCCACTTTTAAAATCGACGGTTTAATCAATATTTTTTTAATCCAGAATTTTGAGAAAAAAATTTATTTTTCTCAAAACATTCTGGATATTTTTTTCCTTTATGATAAAACATTTGTCATTAAAATCATTAAATCTTGTAAAGTACTATTTTTAACTTATTGCTCTACAACGATTTCTGTTCCGGAAAGAGCCAGTACCTAACGGGTACTTTACGCGGGTTCGCGTTTGTTAGTTTGCCAGGCCTGGACTTTTCGCGTGCACCGAAATAAATTAAAGACAAGTTAGTCAAAAATCAATAAAAGTATTTAATAAAGATCTAGGAATAACTATTTACAATATATATAACAAACAACAAATTTATTCAATCAAATAAAATCCAAAAAACTCAACCCGACAAAATCACAATCTTATTCTAACTTAGAACTATTCCCCTTGGAATTCTGACAAAAATCAATCCTTAACTTAAGGTACAGAATTTCTTACAACTATAAATCCTAACCGTCACCTCAATTATACTAGGAACCTTTTTCTCACTCAAGCCTTTTCCTATTCCTCGATCCACAAATCGAAAACTGCAATCGCCTTGGACTATTTCCTATTGGACACCTCGTTCACTGCTACTAGCAGACCAACGCTTATTCCTTGCAGGAGCTCACCTCTGCTTTCTTCACTTGAGCTATGCTATTTATAGTCTGAGGTGACGTCACAGTTTCTAAGTGAGACACTCCCCTCATTTACATACATATACGTAACATTCACTTTTTTCTTGTTTATCTGGTAGCTTATTTCCCGACAATACTTTGTTAACCTTTTACAGTCTTTTCGTGAACAATTATTGGGATGTTTCCTTTAAGGTTTAACAGTTCCTAAAAGTCTGTGGGGTCTGTCCCCCCTTTCAGTGCGGACTTACTATCTGCCGCTTGGGCGTGCACGTGAGTGCGAGTGTCAGCTATGGCGCTTTCTTTTTATCATCGGTGAGTTGGTTTTATCTATCTCTTTAACTTTCTAAGGTGATGGGTGAGGAAACTTTCATCCTAACTAAACATAAGCCCCAAAACAAAAATATAATAAAAGCAAAATAAAAGTAACTATAAATAACACTCGGACTTGGTTCCTTACAATCTGACTTGAAACTTCAAGATGATAATAACTGAATTACTTTTTAATGAAATGTAGATCTGATAAAAATGTGAATAAATTTATTTTTGGAAAATTATGTACTATAGGATTTAAAAATATTAAAAAAAATCATCCTATGATCTTCATATTATATCTATGCATTACATTATAGTTCAGTAGTCTTTTGGATAGTTATATTACAGTGATAGCTCAGTGATAAGTTGCTATAAAATGACATTAAATTTAACTGCCTTTTAATATGAATATTAAGGTGTATCCATAAAACTAATTCATATACACTTGAACCTATCTATCTCAATCATGTTTATCTGAAATAATTTCCCCAAAACCTCTTATATATCAAATTAAAAACTGAAGTGTGAATTACAGATTCAAAGCTCAGCAACTACATTTTGATAGCATAAACTGTAGTTGAGAAACTTCTCTTGCGATACAGTACATAGTTAAATTAATACTCCTTTTCTCTGATTGGCTATGACTTTGACTTGTGTCTTATTGGTTGAAGAAAGTCAAGCATCAGAACCTATTTACAACTATTTCTGTCAGGGTATGTCAAAAATGTTTTATTTATACCTAATAGAGGTATATACTGTACTGGTACCTGCTATTGTATTAATAAAATACCATATATAAACACCTATTAATCTATTTCTGTTTACTGTGTACCTTTATATCTTGAAACCTATCTCAGATATTGCAAGGTTTTCTTATTTTGTGAAAACAAAATCCACTTTATCCCTAACAATTGTAATATCTAAATAATCTTACTATTAACCTTTTTTTCAATCTGAAAGTTAATGAAGTAAATAAAATTAATTTAGACATTAAATATAAAAGATTTACTTTATTTTTATCAAAAACTAAAAACATGTCATCCACGCATCTTGTTAATAATTTCATAGCCTTAATTTCTTTTATTTTCTGTTCTATCTTAATCATGGCTATTTCTGCTAATGTAGGACCTGTTATTGTAGCCATATTAATACCATCTTTTTGTCTGTTTGCCAGAAAGTAATTATTAACAAATGAAAACTTAAATCAATTATTCAACTTTCTATATTAGTTTCTATTAAGCAATCTTCTATTAATTTCCTTTTATCAGTGGGTACATAGACTTAATATCTATGTTAATCGTGCAATTTGAGGATCTTTATTCCAATTTTAACTTTTTAATTAGTTGGTCTGCGTAATGTATACATAATCAGATAATTCTGTGAGCTATATTTTTAATTTTAAAAAATGCTCAAAGTTAAATAAAATTGCACTGTAAAAGATAATTTGGGGACAACATTGATTATCTAGTTTGAGTTTTTATTCTAACCTTATGTATAAAGATTTTACATGCATTGATTTAAAATTTTATCTTTTTCTTTGTATTAGTTAAACATGCTTGATGAATGTTTTAAGTAATAAAAGCTAGTATTGCAAACAAATTTATAAAATCTTTTTTCATGTTAAATTCTTTAAGCATATTACTAATAAGTGAAAGTTGATAAAGTATTTGAAATATTAAAATTGTATTAATAAAATATTTTATTTGTAAATTATTAAAATTTTATTATGATAATGCAAATATTTCATCAATTTTTAATCATAAAATTACTACCACTACCAATTTTTTCAAGTATTATTTATTTGCTAACTGAAAATGTACACCTGAAACAATCTAAGTTTAAAATATTTCAATAATAGAACTGCTTTTCTCATTTTAATCATCCTTTAATAAAATCATTAAAATTTTTCCGAAATATTTTTCATGAAATTTATACACTAGTAAATCATTTGAAAGGATATTTATTAATCATTTTGTTTGCAAAATATACTTCCCATGTTTATAAGTATATTTTAGAACAATTGACAGATCCAGTCTTTTGCAAGTATATTTGCCTAATACAAGACAGACTTGATTTAGTTCAATGATAGTCATTGATGTTGCTTTTGTATTAAACAATAGAGGGTGAAAAAGTGCTTGTTGGTCATAGAATACTGGAAGTATATTAATGAAACTTAGTTTTTGGNAAATGAATTCAGAAGAGGCCAGTACTCTTCTAAACCTAAAGAAACACTACACTGACTAAGTATGTCTTCTGCCAGACAAGACAACTTTCCATTATGCTCATGATACATTTGCCAAGTTGGACAATTATGGAATTCAGTATCTCTCTAATGAGGCCAACATTCCAAAAGTTCTACAACTGAGAGTGATTGAGAGATTTTGGTACCAGCAGAAGCAAAAAGTTTATGAAAATGGTTGGGAAGCTAGATCTGCAAAAGAGTTGGAGACAGGATCAAAGCCAAACTTTGCTCTTCAAAGCTGGTGGTTAATGAAACAGATTAAGACTAAAATTCAGATTGCAGCCAATTGTGTCCTGGAAATTAAACAACCTATCTGTATTAAGAAAACTTTATTTTAAAATAATGAATTTTAAACAATTTTTGAAATTTGCATATTTTTAGTATACATACTCTTGCATGAGACCATAAAATTTTAGATAATAATTTACTTATTCAAGGTTACTTGAATATTATGAATAATTGTATTTTCAGTCCAATTTGATATAAGAATAAAATTGCTCAAAAACTACAAATATAACTTACAAGGGGAGACACATTAAGGGCCAAGGGATCTCATTTTAGGCATTCAATTAATTAAGGATGTTATTCAGTTATCTAAGTGATAAACTTTGTGTATTGTTTTGAAGCAAATTTTATTATTATTTTTTTTATTGTAATTGTTTAATTATTAAATATAAAATGTTTCTTTTCACAATTTTTTCTTCCTCCTCCTTGCAGTTAAATATTATTATTCATTTAAATTCCTTCTCTTTTGTGATACAGGTAGAAAAACAGGAGAAGAAGAAGAAGAAAACTGGCCGTGCCAAGCGTCGCATGCAGTACAATAGAAGATTTGTCAACGTTGTTCAGACATTTGGAAGAAGAAGAGGTCCAAATGCTAATCAGTCGTAAATGAAAAAATGCATATGGAAAATGTAATTCTCTGTGAATAAACTTTGAAGAAGTAAATATAAGTTTTAATTTTGCAGTTATATTCTGTGGTAAACAAGGTTTCAGATCCAAAAGAGACATGCTAAATACAATTTTGCAAAACAATAGAAAACCTTAGTACATAAGAAAGAATTATTAAAATTAAAAAGTAACTTTCCATCTCAATCATAATATAATAAATTACATGTAATATAACATGTTTTTAAATAATTCATAGCCAACATTTTTAACACCATTATGAATGCAAAAAGTAAATTTTAAAATATTTAAAATTAATTTAGATTGTTGATTTATGTATTATTTATTGAAAATAAAAATATATAATTGTGTCAAAGATAATTAAACAGTTCCGCACTAAATTACCAGGTGCATATTTTATATATCCAGTAGTACTTTGTAATTTTCTGGCAATGTTTATACCAAAATTTGAAAAAAATTTAAGTTTTAGTGAAGCTATGAAATACCCAAATCATTAAAACATACATCAACTAGCAGATAAGCCCATTGTTGCCTGGGCAAAAAGTAAACATTAAGATAATTTCGTTATTCTAATCCTTTATAGTTATATAAATCAAATACTATATAATATACAGAAATCTGGTTATGCATGAAAAATTTCACCTGAAGTGGACAAAAGTAGGAGTTAGAGAATTCACACACACACACACACACACACACACACACACACATTTAGGCCCTATAACAAATGCTTAACCGAACCGATCTCTAGCCAAGTATAGTGGGGACTGATTTCTTCGTAATATTGGATGTAGTAAAGACAGTAATTTTTCCAGTTCAATGGGAGTGACCGAAAAGTTGTAAATTTTGGAAATTTCCGTGGACACCTAAAACGAATTAGAAAACAAATGACGGACAATCTGTTAAATTTAACATATTTAGATTTTTACAGCTATGGTTAGAAACATTTAAAATGTTCAACAACCCTGTCGTGTCCTTTGAGGTATACTAGTGATGTGACAAAAGAGGCATTTGACATTGACCGGTATCGGCACCCTCGGGATTTGGCAGCCGCGTATATGCACCTACCAGGACCGTCTCTGATTCCGTCCATTAAACACTCAGGGAGCTATTTGATAAGTGGATTGTTTTACGATTTAAAAGTAAAGAATATTTGATTTACGTTTATTTAGAAAGCTATATTTAATTATAATTTTCTTTAAAAGTATATTCATACAATTAAAGAATATTTTGTACCAGGTATGTATATCCACCACATATTTTATTTCACCAAGTAAGTTTTTATTTTATTTTAAATTTTAGCCCTTATATCGTGGCTAGCGATTCGGAATGTAATTGTGATATTAAAAATACTGTACATTTAGAGAAGTCTACGATTTTTACTGGCTTATCGAACAAACGAATACGAATGGACCCTAGACTATCACTGACGCGCAATTAACTGATTGCCCCTGGAAGTCGGCTTCTTACAGTAACAACTTCCTATTGTAAGTTTCCGACATTTCGGGGCAGAGCCGACCCTACCATAGGGCGAACGGAGCAGGCGCTAAGTCCTAGGAGGCGCCTCAGTGGTAAAGAAAATTAAAGGGTATAAATTAGGGGCAACCAAGGGTGGTGCCATAATAGGATCTCGCTCCATCCTAAAACTTGCCTCGGACCGGCACTGTTTCGGGGCAGTAAGTTAATTGCGCGTCAGGAAAAGCCTAGGGACCGATCGTATGTGAGTGTTGGCGGCAGAGGCAAAGATGACAAGTATCTTACCATAACCGTTTATTTTAACATTTAAGAGAACTTACAAAAGAATAATACAAGCTGTTGGGCGAGGAGCTCCGGATAACGGCGATCTTGTGCGGGATGATGCCAGACGTTGATGAAGCCCGGGGCAGTGGGGAAGAAGTGTCCATAGAACCGGTGGTGGACGTCGGCGTACGGAGTGGGCTGGTAGACGTTCCGACGAACACTTACAGGCAAGTGGCAAGCTCCGTCTTCTCTCCTCTCTCGACCTTAATCCGGGGGTTTTATACGATTTTCCCTCGAATCTTCCCCTCTTGATTGGTCTTGGGTCCCTTTCTCCTGTTTCGATTGGTCATTCTTCTGTTTCTAAGCAAGACAGAAACCAAGTCCGGCCGGGGATGGCGCCCGAACGTTGACAACTACGCTCATAATTTATGCCGTTTGGCCCCCCTTTTCTTGGACATCGGGCTTGACCGATCGGCCAGATGTTCTGTGTCCGCCTACTCCCCTTCCGCGACGGTCCCGGGCTCACATGATCTAACAGGTGTTCTTGGCCATAAGTCTCTCCTCTCTTGATTGTATACATTCTGACTCTTATATACGAGCACCCTGACAAAGCCCCTCTCACTCGGTTTGCATTCCCCTTTGTCGTTCATCATCGTATCGCGTTTATTTTAGAACCAGTGTTTTAGTTCGGTCGAGTCTACGAGTATACTGTCCCGACACGTGTTCTCGACCCGATTGAACTTCCGAAATTCCCTGGCATAGCAATTTTGCAAACAACCGAAATTCCGACGCGATTTTAGGATCCCTACACTATTTATCAAATGTCACGGCACGCCACTCCTTTCTCATAAAAAGTATTCCGTCACTCTTGACAGTGGAGTTTCTAGTTATGTATATAAGATGAAAATGTCGAGTTTAATGAAGCAATATCCGAAAATCCTTGAACTTGTTTTCTAAATTTGCATTGTAATTAGTCAACAATGCGTTCAATCGGTTGTTTGTTTCCGAAAGAATCACTACGTGGAAATAGTGAATTACTTTCTCTTGACATTTGTCACTGGGCTATAAAACCTATTTATTCATTAAAGCTTATTCTCACGGTCTACGATTGGCTAAAAATTGTCTTGCCCCGTAATGACTCATCACGTGCCACCCTTTCTGTTCCGTTCTTCTGGTTTTTAAGTATTTACAGACGTCGGGTTACTTGAGTTTACGCTATGAGTTCAGTTAGGTTTACGTTTAGTTGATGAAATTCACAATGTAAGTAAACACTTTTCGTAAATAATTATCGAAAATATATATAATAATCTATATTCCACGCGTTTTTTTCTTTTATTTTTGAGAGACGTCAGTAAAAGACGTAGGGGTACATATAGAATATGTTCCAGCAAAATAACTATATTTTTCCCTTTTGTATTGTGATGCAACCTAATTGATACGAAATGCGGTAATAGTTGATATTTACTGAATGGGCCCGTTTTTTCTAATTTTGCTCTCTTTAGACACCTCTCTAATAGACGTGTCCTAAACAATTAGAATTATTTGGGGGAGACGCGTATATTAAGAGCTATAAGCGAAAACGCATCGGATTACTTACTCAATTATTACCATACTTTTATTTATAAATTTTTATTTAACATGTTATAAAAATGTATTGCTTTTCCCGTTTTTAAGTATTATTTAAGTGTTTTAATATTCTGTGTTTGTAAATGCAAATTCCGTAGTTAAATACTTTCGTACACTAGTCTTAAACGGAAAGGGAAGAAAATATCTATTGTTTGAAAGCTTTTAGCAATTCTCAAGGGGATAATGAAATCTGTTTTAGCGTTGAGTGACCGCAGGCACACTAATTACCCAATTTGTGTCACAGCTGTTACAAGATTTTCATAGAAAAGTTCCTAAAGCGAATTGAAAGATTAGGAAAAATTAAAGTTAAAACATTATATATTTCCGAATATAAGTTACTAGTATTTTACTAAAAACAATTTATTTAATAGTAAAATATGATGATTTGTAATTATGCGTGATCATATAGAATTCGTACATGAGCGTTTTATCTTAATTGTTTTTCTTTTTGTAAAGTGCTATAAACAAAAAATCTTAGGACAAGTTTCCACTTTTTCCCACTGCTATTGGTAATTATTGGAGGACGGAGGAATACAAAACGTGTCACGTGACCTAATTTTGATGCCATTCAGTCACGTGGATAACTAGAAACGTCACTCAGCACGTGTCATTTCTGAGGTACAGTATTTCCTGACAACTTCTTTCTCGCGGAAAACATTTAAAATTAATTTTCGTATATTAAATACATTAATTATTAATAGTTCAAGTATTATGAAATTTGCGCACNGAAGATTCGGCATTATCCTTAAGTCTCATAATATAGAATATGTTCCAGCAAAATAACTATATTTTTCCCTTTTGTATTGTGATGCAACCTAATTGATACGAAATGCTGAAGATTCGGCATTATTTTTTAAGGCTCATAATATAAATAAAGTTATATATAAACGTAAAATAATACAGTGTTATGTGATTATGACGTGCAGATTTAAAATAATAACGATTCAAAAATGATGATTTTAATAACTAAATAAGATGCTTTGTTATAAACACGCACTAGCATCATTTCGACCGCATATTTGTAATGGGAAACTGCTATTTACAAACATTCGCCGACGCTAATATCTTTGTTTATCTGCTTTAAGACAATGTATATTTAAAATAGTCGTTAACAATCACAGTAAAAATCGAAAACGAAATATTAATTAGCCTATGTAATCAGAGAAGCAGAGATGTATGCTGGTCCGAAGAACTTTTTTCAAACGTCGTCGGGATGATGGCAGCGTGTACCTAAAATATATCGTACATTTCTAGTCACAAAATTAAATTTTTAAATCGTTGCTATTTTTAATCTACACATTCATCAGTCCTATTATATACATTTACTATATTCCTTAAATAGAGGTAAAAAAATATAACATATTGGTCGTCCTTAAAACTATACTCGGACCAATACTAATATATTCATTCTGAAATAAATTAATCTTTAATTTTATATAAAATAATATCAGGATTTTACTTATATATACTTTTATTTAACATGTTATAAAAATGTATTGCTTTTCCCGTTTTTAAGTATTATTTAAGTGTTTTAATATTCTGTGTTTGTAAATGCAAATTCCGTAGTTAAATACTTTCGTACACTAGTCTTAAACGGAAAGGGAAGAAAATATCTATTGTTTGAAAGCTTTTAGCAATTCTCAAGGGGATAATGAAATCTGTTTTAGCGTTGAGTGACCTCAGGCACACTAATTACCCAATTTGTGTCACAGCTGTTACAAGATTTTCATAGAAAAGTTCCTAAAGCGAATTGAAAGATTAGGAAAAATTAAAGTTAAAACATTATATATTTCCGAATATAATTTACTAGTATTTTACTAAAAACAATTTATTTAATAGTAAAATATGATGATTTGTAATTATGCGTGATCATATAGAATTCGTACATGAGCGTTTTATCTTAATTGTTTTTCTTTTTGTAAAGTGCTATAAACAAAAAATCTTAGGACAAGTTTCCACTTTTNGGAAATTTCCATGGACAACACCTGGTCCTAAAACGAATTAGAAAACAAATGACGGACAATCTGTTAAATTTAACATATTTAGATTTTTACAGCTATGGTTAGAAACATTTAAAATGTTCAACAACCCTGTTGTGTCCTTTGAGGTATACTAGTGATGTGACAAAAGAGGCATTTGACATTGACCGGTATCGGCACCCTCGGGATTTGGCAGCCGCGTATATGCACCTACCAGGACCGTCTCTGATTCCGTCCATTAAACACTCAGGGAGCTATTTGATAAGTGGATTGTTTTACGATTTAAAAGTAAAGAATATTTGATTTACGTTTATTTAGAAAGCTATATTTAATTATAATTTTCTTTAAAAGTATATTCATACAATTAAAGAATATTTTGTACCAGGTATGTATATCCACCACATATTTTATTTCACCAAGTAAGTTTTTATTTTATTTTAAATTTTAGCCCTTATATCGTGGCTAGCGATTCGGAATGTAATTGTGATATTAAAAATACTGTACATTTAGAGAAGTCTACGATTTTTACTGGCTTATCGAACAAACGAATACGAATGGACCCTAGACTATCACTGACGCGCAATTAACTGATTGCCCCTGGAAGTCGGCTTCTTACAGTAACAACTTCCTATTGTAAGTTTCCGACATTTCGGGGCAGAGCCGACCCTACCATAGGGCGAACGGAGCAGGCGCTAAGTCCTAGGAGGCGCCTCAGTGGTAAAGAAAATTAAAGGGTATAAATTAGGGGCAACCAAGGGTGGTGCCATAATAGGATCTCGCTCCATCCTAAAACTTGCCTCGGACCGGCACTGTTTCGGGGCAGTAAGTTAATTGCGCGTCAGGAAAAGCCTAGGGACCGATCGTATGTGAGTGTTGGCGGCAGAGGCAAAGATGACAAGTATCTTACCATAACCGTTTATTTTAACATTTAAGAGAACTTACAAAAGAATAATACAAGCTGTTGGGCGAGGAGCTCCGGATAACGGCGATCTTGTGCGGGATGATGCCAGACGTTGATGAAGCCCGGGGCAGTGGGGAAGAAGTGTCCATAGAACCGGTGGTGGACGTCGGCGTACGGAGTGGGCTGGTAGACGTTCCGACGAACACTTACAGGCAAGTGGCAAGCTCCGTCTTCTCTCCTCTCTCGACCTTAATCCGGGGGTTTTATACGATTTTCCCTCGAATCTTCCCCTCTTGATTGGTCTTGGGTCCCTTTCTCCTGTTTCGATTGGTCATTCTTCTGTTTCTAAGCAAGACAGAAACCAAGTCCGGCCGGGGATGGCGCCCGAACGTTGACAACTACGCTCATAATTTATGCCGTTTGGCCCCCCTTTTCTTGGACATCGGGCTTGACCGATCGGCCAGATGTTCTGTGTCCGCCTACTCCCCTTCCGCGACGGTCCCGGGCTCACATGATCTAACAGGTGTTCTTGGCCATAAGTCTCTCCTCTCTTGATTGTATACATTCTGACTCTTATATACGAGCACCCTGACAAAGCCCCTCTCACTCGGTTTGCATTCCCCTTTGTCGTTCATCATCGTATCGCGTTTATTTTAGAACCAGTGTTTTAGTTCGGTCGAGTCTACGAGTATACTGTCCCGACACGTGTTCTCGACCCGATTGAACTTCCGAAATTCCCTGACATAGCAATTTTGCAAACAACCGAAATTCCGACGCGATTTTAGGATCCCTACACTATTCATCAAATGTCACGGCACGCCACTCCTTTCTCATAAAAAGTATTCCGTCATTCTTGACAGTGGAGTTTCTAGTTATGTATATAAGATGAAAATGTCGAGTTTAATGAAGCAATATCCGAAAATCCTTGAACTTGTTTTCTAAATTTGCATTGTAATTAGTCAACAATGCGTTCAATCGGTTGTTTGTTTCCGAAAGAATCACTACGTGGAAATAGTGAATTACTTTCTCTTGACATTTGTCACTGGGCTATAAAACCTATTTATTCATTAAAGCTTATTCTCACGGTCTACGATTGGCTAAAAATTGTCTTGCCCCGTAATGACTCATCACGTGCCACCCTTTCTGTTCCGTTCTTCTGGTTTCTAAGTATTTACAGACGTCGGGTTACTTGAGTTTACGCTTTGAGTTCAGTTAGGTTTACGTTTAGTTGATGAAATTCACAATGTAAGTAAACACTTTTCGTAAATAATTATCGAAAATATATATAATAATCTATATTCCACGCGTTTTTTTCTTTTATTTTTGAGAGACGTCAGTAAAAGACGTAGGGGTACATATAGAATATGTTCCAGCAAAATAATTATATTTTTCCCTTTTGTATTGTGATGCAACCTAATTGATACGAAATGCGGTAATAGTTGATATTTACTGAATGGGCCCGTTTTTTCTAATTTTGCTCTCTTTAGACACCTCTCTAATAGACGTGTCCTAAACAATTAGAATTATTTGGGGGAGACGCGTATATTAAGAGCTATAAGCGAAAACGCATCGGATTACTTACTCAATTATTACCATACTTTTATTTATAAATTTTTATTTAACATGTTATAAAAATGTATTGCTTTTCCCGTTTTTAAGTATTATTTAAGTGTTTTAATATTCTGTGTTTGTAAATGCAAATTCCGTAGTTAAATACTTTCGTACACTAGTCTTAAACGGAAAGGGGAGAAAATATCTATTGTTTGAAAGCTTTTAGCAATTCTCAAGGGGATAATGAAATTTGTTTTAGCGTTGAGTGACCGCAGGCACACTAATTACCCAATTTGTGTCACAGCTGTTACAAGATTTTCATAGAAAAGTTTCTAAAGCGAATTGAAAGATTAGGAAAAATTAAAGTTAAAACATTATATATTTCCGAATATAATTTACTAGTATTTTACTAAGAGCAATTTATTTAATAGTAAAATATGATGATTTGTAATTATGCGCGATCATATAGAATTCGTACATGAGTGTTTTATCTTAATTGTTTTTCTTTTTATAAAGTGCTATAAACAAAAAATCTTAGGACAAGTTTCCACTTTTTCCCACTGCTATTGGTAATTATTGGAGGACGGAGGAATACAAAACGTGTCACGTGACCTAATTTTGATGCAATTCAGTCACGTGGATAACTAGAAACGTCACTCAGCACGTGTCATTTCTGAGGTACAGTATTTCCTGACAACTTCTTTCTCGCGGAAAACATTTAAAATTAATTTTCGTATATTAAATACATTAATTATTAATAGTTCAAGTATTATGAAATTTGCGCACTAATTACAAAATTTATATAATAATTATAACAGTTAGACGCGGATTTCAAAGCATTCCTTTGCATAAATGATAAGGCATTATAAATAATTCTCGTCGCATAGAACAAATAATTTTGTGATAAATCGATGTTGTAGAAGAGCAAACTTTGAATGCAAGATGTCTTTTATTTTGAAATTGTACCAATCGTTTTTTTAAATAAGAAGTTTTAATTTTCAAATGAATTTCCATTTTTCATTTAGCCTATTTACATTCATTACTTGTAGAAGTAGATGTTTTACAATGTATCGGTTTTCTAACTTATTTAAATTATGTCGACATTCGAACTCTCATTGTTTAAACCGACCTTGGTCGACTTTTCTATTCGTAACAAGTTTCATTTTTCTTTTTCGTTATTTCCATCCGGTCGTTTTTCACGAATTAATAATCAATGTTCAGGTTTTGTCGTAATAGAATTTAAAAGCATTAAATATTTGTATATATTTACCCTTCCTAAAGCGCGTAACTTAGCCACCGCACT